TATTGATACTGATATTTTAAAAAACATCTATCGTTTGGTTTTAACTCTTGCCTTAAGTAAGCATGAGCATGAGGAATTTTTTTTATTTATTTATCTTTATTTTATTGAAAAGTGTGTTTTGTACAGTTTGATTTTTATCATGTTTCTATTGAATAAAAGTGGTTAAAAATAAAAATATGGCGTATATTTATACCCTGAGTTAAATAATCTCAGATTTCCTACACTGCAACTGCATATACTTGTATGTCAAAGAATGGTTTAGGTAACTGCAAAACATCTTGCATGCAACTTCATTTAGTTTTACCCCAGGGCTTGAGTAGCTCTCTCTGAATGCGATTTGTAGGCCCTCTCATGCCACGCAGAATATCTGAGACTTAAGATAATAGCTAAGAATAATAGCGGATGTTGATGTTGAGTAAATGCACCAGTCGGCACTGATTGTATCGGACGTGCAAACACACTCGAACGACTAAAAGTTGATTATCCATAAATTAACGTTTGGTTATCTTGTATCTAATTACAAAGGTAATAAATTTCTTTTTATTACAACGCACTGATGCTGTTTACATGAGAAAACAGGGCATGATCACTGGTAATTATACATATCATCTTGGCCTCTATCAACTGCAGAGGTCTTCAATGTTTAAGAAAAGGAAGAAATTGGGGTGAGTGGCAAGGGGGGGGGTGAGTGGCAAAAAAATCTGGAGGAATTTTTTTTTTTTCACATGATGCAAAAAGCATTTTTGACTAAAAACTTTGAAGCGAATTAACTATTTTTGAATATTATATCTCATTTACGGCTTCTACAAGAAATATCAAGAAGTATCAAGAAATGTTTTTCCTCCGCAGCATGGCTTTTAAAAATAAGTATCTACAAGCTCATATTTTTCTCTTGGTGTACTGACCACTAATATATTATTTGTGAGGCTATGTCTGTGATTTTATTGGAATTCATATTCGAGTGGTACATCCACAATGTGTAAGGAAGGCATCTTAACCAAATCTTATTAATAGGTGAAAATTTTTTACTATAATTCAGTAAACATATTCGAAATTTACAAAAAAAAACAAAAAAAAAAACAAACAATTCTCTAAAGCTCTGTCCAGACTACCATGTCTAAATATGGTCATAATGACATCACATCATGACCATATATAGGCACATCATGACTATATATGGCCATACAACAGTTTGATAGTGTGGAGAGCAGTTAACAAAAAAGACAAAATTTCAACTAAGCTATCAACAAACTTGGAAGGAATATATTGTATTTCAATATTACATTATAATAATGGGATTTTCAAAATATTGATACTACTTATTACAGCATTACTTTCATAAGTATGCGTTGTATGTTCAACACCTTTGCAGATGCATACCCCCAAAAGATACCTAAAACTTGCTTTAAAAATGGAGCGTATGTTGTTAGCAGGAAGGACAGTCCTCCGAAAATGAGTTCCACAGAGCTCCTCATTTCGAACCTTTCGTATCAAGGTACAGAAAAATATTGGTAGCACAGAAGAGTGATAAATTCACTGTTGCCATTCTTGGCCCAAGTGTATATTAATCATACAGAAAAACCCATACATATTAATCCATACTTATTTATTAATAATCAAAATGGCTAATAAATCATAACATCATCTTATCAACCACATGCTTCTGTCTCCACAGAGAAGTAAAATCCATAAAAAATAAATCAACATTTTTTGTTAAATTGTGTAAAATAATCCTAAAAGATAAAAATTGTTTGAATTATGAATGATAATTTATTTAACATTCATTTCAAAATCAATAAGGTTTTATATAACGCATGACATAAAGTAATGAGCAGAATGGAAATAGCCCCTTGGGAAAGAAATTTTGTGATTAGACAATCAGGATGATTAAAGTTTTAACACAACAGATTTATTTACTCCTAGCTATGCTGCCAGCTGAAAACATACATACATAAACTGAGCCTGTAGCAAGTGCCCAAAAACAGAACATTGATTTATATCTGATAGGGTGATTCTTTGTAAATAAATAGAGGCACTTTAACTTAGTTTTTAGTACCCTTTTTTAATGTCGTGCATGAGTCTCTACCAGTAATATTCACGTCGTTGAACTTGTTGACAAATTGGCTGAAATTTCATCTTATCTATTTGCAAAAACCCTACTCTCCATTAGAAATTTATAAACTAAACATTATTTTTGATTAACTGAAAAAGAAATCAGATAGGCAAGTTAGTTTTATGGATTATAAATAAAGTCATATTTCTTTTTCCCATTAAATCTATCATCATGCTCAGTAACACGTACAGTGCTGAAGCAAAATAATAATTCAAAATAAATCATGTGTAAGAACGATTGAATTCAAAGTAAATTGCAGTAAAAGTGGAGCCAAAAAAAAGGATTGGCACAGTACCTCCTTTGTGATCTTGACTGTTTGACTCCCACTATTCGGTAAAATTAATAGTTTTGAGTGTATTGGTATTAAACTGCGCACAAATTTCAAACTTTCTGCAAAAATTTCAAGAATTCAAATCACTCTCAGATGATTATACCATGTATTATAGGAAAATACTGTTGCACAAAGCAAAATACATAAAAAATAATTAAGGTATTTAATCGAATAAATGCCCCGCTTTGAATAAACACCTCCTCGAATACAATCTAATGGAATCTAATCATTCTCAACACTTTCTATTAATGTTGTACTCCAGTAGAATTACATTTTTTCTAACTTGGTTGGGATCAGTAAGTCTTTATGATCATGCAATAACAAATTTTGACAGTAATTATGTGTTACAAGCATAGAGGTATAATAAGAATACTAGAGCGCTAACCGCAATGTATTCGACGTTCGAAATACGCAGAACTGTGTGTGTGTACCATCCAAGATGGCTACCATAGATTTAGCCAATCAAATTTCG